TCTATTTCGTTTATATCTCGGGATGGAATAAAGATTAATAAACGAAATTTGGCACGGTAACTTGTATATAACGGACATTGACGATATTAAATTTTGGTGGTTAAAGTTCGAAGGGGTGGGATCATATGTCATATCTTAAGTGGAAAGATTTTAATCATTTTTGGCATTTAAAATATTTTTAAAAATTCACCTCTACCTTTGTGGGTAGAGGTGATACCTTAATTTAAATTAAATTAAGCCTTTTAACTTTTTAAAATTATAATTAATAATATAAAAGTTATTTTTAAAAAGTTTCATAACAGTGCCACACACAATTTTCAACTTTGATAGTATTTTTTTGCTGGGAAAGTTACGCAACTCATTGCTGGATTGGTTTTTTTTGTTTTATTAATGTCATCATTATCGTTATCATCTTTTTTTTTTGTATAGTTGTATATTGAGTGGTTTCTCTTTAATTTTTATTAATAAATTCTTATTTAACTACAAGAAATTTATAATAAACAATCCTTCAAAATAGCTTCAATAGATTTTCTTATTGCACAATTAGCTTCCATTATGTCTGTTTATTTTAAGATACACTTTATAAAGTGTTTCGAACTCAAAATATCTCAGACAAATGTAACAGGAAATGGTACAATACTTTTATTATCTCAATTATTTTGCACGCACTGTATAATTATATAATACCAGCAAAGAAGATCGATTCTTTGTTATTTTGTAATTCTATTGTGTGGATAAAATAGACACTGAACTTTGTATTTTGTCATCTGTTTATAAATTAATTAGCTTATTTATGATAATTATATTACATTTTATTTCCTGTATGAACCAAACAAAGTTGTTCATTTATCATTGTTTTTTAATAGTAAATTAACATATTATATTTAAAAAAATCAAAAATTTAAATACAGAGGACTAAACACTACATTAAATATCTGTGGCGTACTTATGGAGTTGTAGAATGGGGAAAAGGGGCACTTTCCCCTCCCTGGAATAGAGTAAAAAATTCCCAAAATTATATATATATAAAAGTGATTGCGATATGTAATCTTACACCCTCGCTTTATGTGTTAAAACTTCTTGTTTGTCTTTAAACCCCCCCCCAAAATTTAAGATTTATTCTTTGGAAGAATTCTTCCTCATCTTCATAGAACACTAATTTAAAGAATTTAAATCTTGGCTTCTTAAATTCTTTCAATTTTAAAGATTTAATAGGATATTTGATACGAGACTTGTGATAATTTATTTCCCCTTATTATTATTATTAAATAATACGTTAAGATACAACCTACAGACTGACATCATTACACTTTACTTACCAGAAAATTGATATTATTTTCCATTTTAATTAAGATGCGATTAGATTAAATTCATCACTTATTTTGTGATTAATTATATCGTGTTTTTCTTTAAAAATAAATATTGATAAAAAATTTAAAAAGTTATCGTGTCTAATCTGATATTTTCAAGCGATGACAAATAAAACAAATACAGTAGAGCGTCGTTTATCCGAATCAATTGGGGACTGGGGTTGTTCGGATAACTTGTTTTTCGGATAACCGATTATGTACGAAAAAATATATTAACCTATCCCGTATTGAAATTTTTCTCCGTTGCGTGTCGCTTTGCGTTGAATTTTCGTCGATGTTAAGTCTAACGTAAACTTTTTAAAATAATAATCATGGCTATTGTATCGTTAAAAATGATTTCTTTATGTTTTACAAACGAAATAAATACATTGAAAAATATAAAAACAAATAAAAATTATACTTTAGGTCGACTGGAATTCTTTCGGATAACCGATGTTTCGGATAACTGACCTTCGGATAAACGACGCTCTACTGTACATATGGTAGAACGGAAAAATGTTACAGTAAAAGCTGTTCAAAACGGAACCTAAAATGAAAGGAAAACACGCGTAAACGGACGAAACAGAGCGATTTTTCTATGTTAAAAAACACCTGTACGAAACGGAAACCTGCCAAACCGGAAAATATCCGGTACTGGATGATCCGGTTTACGCAAGTTTTACTGTATATGAAGCATATCACGTTTTTTCAATAGGGCAGTTTGCAAACGGGCAATTGCCTGGGACCAATAGGGATCCCTAACTAATCCAGTGGCGTAGCGAGGGGGGCAAGCGGTGTATCATGCACCGGGCGCCACTCGCAGAGGGGTCCCAAATGGTCTCCAAGACAAACTATATGTGTTTCTGGAGGGGAGAGGGGCGCCAATAAATGCCCCGGGCGCCAGTTATGTTCGCTATACCACTGAACCAATCTTTTATATTTTACCAAATCTTTTACATTCTCCGAAGAAAAATTCCTGAATTAAACATTGTACATGGAACCCTAATTTGAAATTTTGTATGGCCTATGAAATTATAACGCGCCACTGCAATAGGGATATTTATTCACAATTTTATTAGCGAAGTTATATAATAAATCGAAGAATGACCATCTGAAGTTTTAATTGTAAATCATTTTAATGATAATTTACGAGAATTGTAACAGGTGAATCAGATATCTAATTGCATCGATAATGATATTCCATATAATGAGTAATACTAATTTCGTTCTAGATACATTTGTCAATTGCTCTTAGTTAAGGGAATTTACACATAAACTCAACAATCCATTGCTTAACATCGAAGGAATACTTTAAAGCACAGGGGTTATGTATTAAAATAAGAATTTACAGTATTTTTACGGTTATGGCCTATCACAAAAGGAAGAACATACTTGGCCGTGACTCACGTTTATGAATAAGACACTACAGATGATTCATTTCATTGTTTTTCTTGTGTGTTCGATAAAAATTCTTTTATTTATATCGAATTTTATCACTTATTTTTAATATTTTGAGGGCCTTTTAGAGTAAATAGCCTAGATCTACAACCCTGTTTACTTTAAAATATAAAGTGTTTAATTTAAATTCATCAGATAATGCTAATTATAACAAAATCATGCGAGTTGAAAACAAAAACGAGGAAACATGAAACAATTGTTTTTAAAAGTAGATTGAAAAATGCTTCATTGCTCAATTTAAACGAAGAATTTTAATTACACAATGCTTTAAAATAAAATAAAAACAAATAACTTTTCTGAAAGATCATTTAACTGTACAATACATTTAATAATTAAAATAAACTTTTACTACCGTTTAATGCCGTTTAAACTTTAACTATACTGTATTAATTAATTAATTAAAAACATTATTTATTATTTTAGCTGATTAAAGAGGATCCAAAGTCCATGTTTGTTAAACCATGAACTAATACTTTACTATTGATTTTTTTTTGTGTTTTTTGTGTGTGTAATTATTACTTATTTATTTATCTTTAAATAAATTACTCAATAGAATATTTTTGTTTAAAATGAATTCGATTTTTGAACTCGCAACGATAATCATGTATACAGTAAGTTTAGTGACCTGTTTAATTAAGAATTATAATGACTTGTTTAGAATAAGGACACTTGAAAGATACGGGCCAGTAGGTCAATAATCCAAGATTTGTGTTTATAATCTCATGTTATATAGATTTTAATTGACAGATTTAAACAAACATTCTAAAAAAACACTACCAAAACTTAGTTATAAATAAATAAAACAATAAAAAAAACTAAATAATTATGAGATATTTTATAGGTTCGATTGATTAGAAAGAGTATTTATCGTTTAAAATTTAGAGTAAATTTAGATACGGATGGTGTGACAAATGCAACATTCCCACGAAAGTAAAGAGATAAGAAAGAGAAAAAGGACGTTGCAAAATACACTTTATGCTATGTGGAGGTTTCAAACCGTTTATCTAATCTAAATTTTTCGAAACAGTATTTTAAAATTGCATTTAAAAACCTTTGTTTGTTTCACACTCCTGTTTGGACATTACAGGAAAGCTTTTCGTGGAATTACTATCAGACTTCACGTTTATGTAAATCTTCAAAAACATACAGATATATAAACACAATAAATAGTATTCCTTGTGTAATTTTTTTCAAATTTAATATATAAATATATAAGGGCCTCAAAGAGCTTATCAGATGTTGAGAAAAGTCATTTGAAAGGCCCTGATAATGTGTTTAAGATTTTAAACATTCACTTTAATTGTTAAACTTTAATATATTGCAAATTATAAATTAAAATAATTGTATTTTGTGCTATTTATCATCATTTGTGAGATAAATTTTATAAAAATTTATTTATTTAAATCCGCAAAGTAATCCTATTTAAAATGCTATATAATATGAGTTAACTACTCCCGAAAAGTGATAAATAACAACAAAAATAAATGACTTTTAATAATGTTTTCTAACAAAATTTGTATAATAACGCCGATATTGTTCTGTTTTAAATCGTTTTGTTTTGAATAGGGCCAGCTGGAGGTTTTGGGGGCTTCGAAAAAATAGTTACTAGCGGGCCTCAAAATATTTACGATAGCAGTTTGAAATTACCCTTGTCTTTCGGTGGAATTTTTGAATGCCCTTGTATAAATTTAAAAGTGTGTGGCCCTCCGAGCGTGGGGCCTCGCCCAGAGGACCGAAAAAATCAAAGTCCGAGACGACCCTGGTTTTAAACATGATTTCCCCGTAACAATTTACAGAAGAGTTGAAAGATTGTAATGTATGGAGTCTTATGAAATTTATTTTCTGGAAAGTAAGACTTGTATTAATGTAAATAATAAAAGAAAAAAAAACACTGCCTATTTCTTCCTCTCATATTTGAACACGAACACTTTATTCTTATTATTTCATTAAATTTTTATACAAGAAAAATCAAGCAATAAACTAAATTTCTTCCAAACTCATAATAGAAAACAATACATATAAAAAAATTCAATACAAATTGATCTTTCGTACGTGATTTAAATGATATTTTTCACATCTGATCGATCACTACGATCTAACGGCGTTTGCTAATCGATCGCTTTCGATTTATGACGTCGAAAACAGCAACCAATCAACGTAGAGAAAACACACGAGATGTGTGATGTGTCAATGTCGTAGTCGATAACACTACCAATAAACTCATGTTTTGATATAGAAATCGAAGCTAAATGGTGGTTTTAGGAGTCGATTTTAACATAAATATTAAGTTATTTTAACATATCTTCACTTTATTTTATATAATCGAAGAAAAAAAAAAGCGTGAAAATGAATGCTTTGATTATTACCCTTGGCGCTCTTCTGTTAAACGTCGCAACTGCTACTGTTTACACAGCATGTTGTAAGTATTTATATTTGTCTATAGATTCAATTATAGAAGTATCTTGTTTTAATTTTTTTTTAAATAAATTGTATTAAACTTTACATCTCATTGTTATGTTACTGTTTAAAAGTTAAGAAATTCACTGGAGAAAAGTGTTAACTCAGCTCTAATTGGATTATTAGCTGAATTTTACATTTTTAAGGTTTTATAATCATTTGTAAGTTTTCTAGAAAAGATTAAATTTGTTAATAGTTGCAGTTTATGTGATTATATAAGCTGTTTTTCTTTTTGTTTTTCTTCTGCTTAATTACCTAATTACCAATTTGGCATAATGACTAAGAAATGATTAGA